CCCGAAGGCGGGGCGGGCTCAGGCACAAGACTACCGCTCCAACACTCAGCCTGCCAATGGACTTCAGGTAAAGTCGATTGCACAATCTCTTGGCGCCGAGATCCAGGTAAATGATCTACCAGGCTGACAAATCTTCTGGGAGTAAGTTTACAGCTGACGTTCGATTAAGTGGGGGATTGCATTTGAAAGCTTTCTTATATACTTTGTGGATTGGCCTGTTAGTATCGTATCTCATTAGACAATTTGGACATTAACCGCCCAAACAAGCCTGACTTACGAAATGGGAGTTCCAAAGACATCGCTTATACCATAGGATCCTTCGAACGCTAAGCACTTCAAGCGGATGTTTAACCAAAGGGTTGCGTGCGGCTGGCGATGCGAGGAGGTTCCAGAATGGAGAAATAAAACCATCATGAATCAAAAGTTTCTTTACTGGATCGTCTGTTCTGGGTTTTCTCCAGAATGAATTAGTCTCCAGATGCTGACATTCGGAAGATACTCGCTGATGACATTCCCCAGCGAGACGACCTGCTTGCGAAGCATACTAGTCAGTACCCGAATGTAGACAGAAAGATTATTGACACCCACATATGACAATGAAGATTGACCCAAGACGCTCAGGAGTCTGTTGAGCTGACAGATACGGCGAGTGCGGTTCTCCAAACATCTCGCAAAACCAACACATCGACCATTCGTACCCGTCGGCCATATTGCCCTTGAGCTGCTCCCCGAGCAAAACAAGCGGTTAAGTCTATCGTCTTCCACAATTTTGGTGATGCTTCTCTACGTCTCGTGGTTAGGAGATGACGAGAAAGTTGGACGCATCTCGTCGGCTGTTGCTAAGCATATCAGGGCTCTCCAAAGTGCTGGCCTTGGCCGCAGTGCAATGGCCCAGATCGAGGATCTCGCTAAACTCCCACCATTCCACCATGACATGATCGCGCTTGACATGGTGCAGAAAAACTTTCAGTTGTCACAGAATAACTTTTGGAAAGCCCCTAATACACCTAGCAAAGGGACCCGCACAAGCGAGGAATGGTATACACGTCAAGGATACCAGGCCATCGCAAGAGGAGATAGAGGATACGATTGGATGGTGCCTGAAACGCAAGAGCATGTACCAGTGCCATTGGTGTATATGATTAAAAAGCTCGTCTAGACGCAAAGAGTCGGATCAGATTGCCTGTGAGAATTGCATAATCTGCTTCAGCATCTTAGAGTACGGCTAACCCTAAATTGGTCTTGAACTGCCAAATGGCGTACGCACCAAAAACTAGAATTTCCAGTAAAGCAAAGTAAATGGGCAGATGTCTGCTCCAGCTGGTGCTTGAAATCAGACGAACAGTCCATATTAGTATTGTTCATTGAGGCCAGCCCGTAGTGCAACCAAGTCTCATCTCTTTCTCAATAGCTTCTGAACCCGTACTCTTGTGCGACTATGGACCGAGCCAACTGCCTCGCTTTCTCTTATCCCTGCAACCGGAAGGGTATGACTGGTCGAGAACGTGCTCTAAAAAGCCAGCTACTTCCTTTTGTCCGTAATGCCGAGCCTCATCTGCAGCACTTCTTCCCGCGGTGTTTCTAGCTTCCATGAACATGATTCTCTTCGCATCCCAGTGAAACATCCGCCCCTCATCTCCGGTCACTTCATGGCGATCATATTTCCCAGGAACATCGACAGCGTCATCTGTGTCTCTGCCCTCAAAGGCACATAGCACAGGCTTTAGTAGCCGCAGCCCCCCCTTCCGTGCAGCGACAAGCAGCCCGTTATCACCCTCCCGATTCTGATGTCTGAGTAAAATGTGCCTCTCACGACGGCCTTGGAACTGAGCTGGCCCATTTCCGCACGTCGGATAGAGTCGGCACGCCCCGAGAGCTCCTATGCGCCCTGGACGAACAATGGCGTGGATGAGCTAGTCGCCTGTCTCGGGGTTAATGGCCTGGAGCCAAATGTTAATGCCGTCGCATTTGTAGCGCTTGTAAGTGAACTTGAGTTACAAATCCTCCTCGTTCGACATGTCCAAACTTGGAACTGACCGGAGGATGTCGCGGATAAGCGGCACAGGCAGTGGGTCTGGCAGACTGGCGGAGTTGACTCCGATCACTCCTGATAGTGGGATTCATACTGACAGGGACAGGTAGGGTTGGATAATCGATGAGAGTGGGGTGCTCTGAGGCCGAGCATGAGAGGCTGCCTAAGCTGGATCCGCGACTGCGTCGGGAGAGACTGGCTCGCGCCCGACCAGGTGGATCGGACGACTCTGACAGTGTCGCCAACTTCTCATCGTCGTCAGACGAATCATCGCTGCGTCGACAAAATCCGGACACATTGGACCGCGCACAGGAAAATGCGTGATCACAGTGTGAGGGAAGCTGTGATTGTTCTGTGGCGCCACGTAAGGATGTTGGAGGAAGTGAGATCTGTTCTGTCTTAAATAGCATGTGAATTCCGACCCAAACTGTCCTGGTCGTCCACGTTTTGTAATCTTGTCACCCAACCCTAGTTACCCGTGATGATGAATCTGTCGTTGCTCACTTCGCCTAAAGTAAACATTTCAACATTTGCCAATTCTACGACATACTGAAGAAGCTAGATCACTGACAAGCTTGCTTTGTATGCTGCCGATTCTATTAGTTTGTCACTCTGTGTCTTTTTTACACGTGTCCCAGCTCGAAGCCGTTCCCAAGACTCTGTGCTACATGGCCACATGTGAAATATTTCCGTTGACTACCTTGAGACGTGCAGGGCTGTGAGAAGTAAAAGTTGCCAAGAGGCCTGGCTGATGGTTAAACGACCTACTTAACACTTCGCAACTATTTCTAATTCTCAAAGGGAGCTTGATCCCCCTTGAGGAGTACCACCCGCATCACTGTTTTTAAAATTTACCCATCCTCAAGTCCGCTCAGCGGTGGTTATCAGGTCTACGGAGGTTCTTTCAACTGTTCTTGCTTCTGGCAGCTTACAACAGCCCCATCCCCCAAGGGTGGACCGTTCCAAGACGAACAGAGCAAGGGTTATGCGCCACTTGGTTCACACGAATTCAGCAGGGCATTTGACCAGCAATATAGAGTTGCAGGCGAGGATCGATGCGAATGTCAGTCTGAAATCGCACGAGAAACTTCAGTGATTGTCCCAACAACCTTGACGCAAACAGATGATGAAGCTCGGCGAGGCCAAGGCGATAATTAGCCTCAATCAAAGGCCGGCCCGTGTCTGACGCCGCTTCAGTGCTTTGGGATGTCCCAAAAAGGCGAACACATAATTCGGCGGATTAGTAGCGTTAAACCGCGTCGACGCCTCGAGGACCAGCAAAAAATCGATAGTGCAATCCGCCTTCAAAAAGTTCCCGAGCACGTTGAGGACCGGCGTGGTGTCAAACCAAGATCCCTTCTTGTCATATGTCAACCACACGTTCCAGAAGGCGCAGTACGGCGAGCCGAATATCATGTCTTTAATTTCCTGCTTGAGAATTTTAACAAGATCCTCGTCTGTTATCGCAAAGTGAATGAAGACGTCAATCTCACTGAATTGGACATAATGGTCGCCCTAAAATGCCGTGGCCTTCGTCGCCAAACCGACCTCCTGAAGAGCCCACATGGGAGTGAACCATGTGAGTTGATAGAACCTCTTGATAGAATCCGTATGGCGGACATCTAGGATTGATGGGAGGCTACCCTTCAGGTGCGTGACAGGATAGGGTGATTTTATATCCTCGGAAAGATGATTTCGTATGCTAGCAGACATGAAGCTTGCGTCCGGCACCACGGACCACTTATGCTGCGTGCCTTTCTTGACAACTGAAAGAGCAGGTACTACATCGTCAAAGGCCGTCTCTGCGAAACATTCGGAGTCGTGACCAAGCCAGACGACCACCTCGGCGGCTTGATCGTAGACGATACCCATGAGATTTACCTGGTGCGCCTTCTCCGCGTCGTTGCATTGGTCAATGGCCTTCGCCCATGCTATCTACACGCAGTCGGTCCGTATGATGTGTCGAAGGCCTTGCAATAGGCTGACGGTGACATCTCTATAGAAGGTAGAGCACTTCATGCACTTCATGCTCTCAACGTTGGTAGAATCTCCCCAAACGTATGACAGAGCCTTGTACTTGGGGGCCTGGTCAATGGCAACGGCGGCAAGATCACAAACAAGTGGGTCAGTTCGCTAGCCAGAATGGAGGTGAAGTTGACAAAATAAGTATTGTCCTGCATCATTCAGACATTAAGATGTTCCCAAACTAACGACTGTGCTAAAAAGGTTGTATGTGCGGTGGGGTGTGAATAGAGCCAATAGACATCGCACATCTCCATGCAACTCTGTTGGGACTACCAAGGACAAAAGTACCTGCAGTCAGCTTATTTAACACCCACGTCTTCTTGGCATCCACGCCCCATATTGTTCGCCCGGCTGTGGCGAGCCCTTTCCACGTGGCTATAAACCTAGACAAGAGGGAGTTGCCACAAAGTAGGGTGTACTGTACATGACAGGGTGGCACTGATGCTTACTCTCTGTATTCTACCAACTCTCGGTTCAATATCCAAGTCACAAATCCTACCCTGCCTGCCTTAGTTGTAAGTAATATCATAAATACCCTAGAGTGGACAGCCTTGGTTTCTTTCGCAATCCGGTTCTTTGACAGTAGCTTTTCATCCCCGGGCATCCCCGGGCTTTTAACTGCCTAGAAGGTGGTGATGATCTGATCCCTGGCAATGGTCTTGTCGTGGGGCGCATATTAGTTAGGGTGGGTGTCAATAGACGTCTGAAAGTCGTTTCTTTTTCTCTCTCGCAAAAGCGTGCGTAGAATTGACTGTGCATATCCCGTGCCAGCTCAAAAAAGAATGATTACCCTCTGATGGACTTTTCTTGGGCCACCTACGTCCTTCCCAAGAGCAACACGGCAAGACGGCTCTTCAGCCCTGTACATATCATCCACGTTCGTTTCCCCAGGGTGCTTGTCATCTGTACGGCTAAATCTTACCTTTAAACCATCTCTGGAACGATGCGTATTTTTAGGACCTTGTCCATCGGCGCCGGGGTGCTCAGTATCGCGGAGGCCTTTCCTGGCCGCGCCCAAAGCTTCGTCAAAAGGCAGATTACCGACCTTCGGGACGATGGTTATGACTTTGTTATCATTGGCGGTGGCACCGCAGGTCTCACAGTGGCTGACCGCGTCTCGGCTGCCTTCCCGGAAAGTACGTTGTGAAATTTCCGCTTATTTTGCCGCAGGTTCCGTGACCCTAAATTTTCGTTGCAGAGTTCGTCCTGGTGATCGAGTACGGCAAGATTGAGGAGACCGTCGGCTGTTTTGACCCGTCCGAGGACGGCCGTGGTGCCAATCGCCTTGTCATCACCTCCCCCCCGGTCGCTAGCGTCAACAATCGCTCTGCCACCGTCATCCTAGGCATGACTGTCGGAGGCGGATCCGCAGTCAACGGCCAATTCCTGGACCGCGGTTCGCGGCATGACTATGATGAGTGGGCGCGCCTCGGCAGCCCACAGTTTGACGACAGCCCCCACCAATGGGACTGGGAGAACTTTGGTCCCGCGTTGAAGAAGGTCAGCTTCCTGCTTATCTCAGCCCCTCCCGTCCATCTGCCTCTTCTGACGATCCCTTATCAGTCATTGTTTCTCACAGAGCCCAGCCATGAGCTCGTTGAGGAGTACGGCTACACCTGGGACGCCTCCCAATTCGAGGGCGAGGCCATCGACGCTTCATTCCCGCCTTTCCAATGGCCAATTCAGAGTACGTAACTGTCAATTTAACTTCTGTCCCATATGAAAGAAAATAGTGTTGATGAGGCACAGAGTTCGGGTGGAAGGCGTTCGAAGAATTCGGTCTCGAGAGCCCCGTGACCTGTGATAACGGCGACAAGTATGGCCTCTGTTCGGTTGCCACAGCCCAGAACTCAGCGACAGTCGAGCGCTCCCACGCCGGCGTCGGTCACTTCACCAGGATCGCCGACTCACGACCCAACCTCGACCTCCTCGTCGAGCACAAGGTCAGTCGCCTAATCATCAGCAAGAATGAGACCGTTCCACAATTGAGTTTCGCCCTGTCTCCGGCAGCAAGGGCAGGGTCCGTACTATCCGCCCCCGCCACGAGGTCGTCTTGTCCGCCGGCGCGATTCACACCCCCCAGATTCTGCAGCGCAGCGGTGTCGCCTCAGCCGCCTACCTCGAGTCCGAGGGAATCAAGGTCGTCGAAGACCTCTCTGGGGTCGGCCAGAACTTCCAGGACCACTGCGCCGTGCCCATAACGTTCTCCTTCGAGAATGCCCCCTCCCCAAACGAGGCCGACATCACGACGAACACCACCTACGCCGCTGAGGCCGTCGCCCAGTTCCGCGAGCGTCCCGCCCGCGGCCCCTACACCCTCGCTATGGGCAATAGCGCTGCCTACGTCGCCCTCCAGAACGTCACTGCTCAGTGGCAGCACATTGTCGCCGACATCCGAGCCCAGATTGCCGACGGCTCCGCTCTGCAATACCTCCCCGCTTCCGCAGACAACACCGTTCAGACCGGCTACCTCGCCCAGCTTCAGGCTATTGCCAAGGCCTTGGAAAACCCGGAGCACCCCGTTCTCGAGATGCCCTTCCACGCCGCGCCCAGCATGGCCTTTCTCCTCAAGCCTCTGAGCCGCGGCTCTGTCGTCCTCGATCCCGCTGACCACGACGCCACTCCTATTGTCAACTACGCCACCGGCACCAACCCCGTCGACCTTAATATCATGAGCTCTTACATAGACTACTTCCGCCGCCTTTATGCCATCGACACCTGGAAGGACCTCGGCCCAGTAGAAGTCGCACCCGGCGCCAACGTCACCCAGCACGCGGCTCTCTTAGACTGGGTCAAGGATAACGTCGTTCAGTCACTGATGCACCCCTGTTGCACCGCCGCCATGCTACCCCGCGAGAAGGGCGGTGTTGTGGACTCGAGCCTTGCTGTTTTCGGCATCTCTGGCCTCCGCGTCGCCGACTGCTCTATCATTCCCACTATCCCCGCGAGCCACACCACTACGACGGCGTATGCAATTGGTGAGAAGGTAAGTCTATGTTCTTATAGAGTTGAAGCGCTCACATAATAACTTCCGCAGGCTGCGGAGATTATTATCAGCAAGTGGAGATAGGTCCACCACTGCTATGAGACGCACACAAGCTTTGTATAAGGGTTACTCGAATGTCAACCTCGGTGAGGGTTATGAACATGAAAAGCTTCAAGCTGCATATGGTATCGGATTCAATACGTCGCAGATAAAACGTTAACTAAAGGTTTACATATGCACAGAGTAATCAAGATTAATGACGCCGCACATAGCGCGGTGTGGTCTTCACAAGATCCAGTCACCTAGTGAACAAAACCCATCATCTGCCTCCAACTGATAACCAAACGCTAGGAGATTCATCTTGAAGAAGTAACATGTGTTGTCGAGGGTGATTACCTGCTTGCCATTCTCTCCCTCGCAGTTACATAAGGCGATGGCAACTCGGAGATGATGCCTGCACTCATTGCGATTCTCCAGCTACTTGCCGGTCCCACATACTGGACTTGACGTTGACGATGGGATCATCTTCGGCCTAAGGTAGCAATGTTACTTGTCGAGGCTCGGATAACTTACAGTACGCCTCTTTTCGCAGTCGACAAACCGAGTAAAGAAGCCTAACGCTTTTAACTGCATGGAGTGAATACTGATAGAACTCTTGATCTGCCTGTGCAGTCTACCTATCCTTCTCGTGTGTCGCCCGCGAGCCCGGGCCACCGGCGCAGCTGCCGAGCAATCAGTCAGGCTACTTACAGCAGTACTCCGTGATTAAAGCTGTCGTCGGGCCCGATTGAAGCCCTCGTCCGACCAATGGAATGCGTCTATTACAAGGGTGGAGGTTCCTTACAGGCAAGATGGCGAGGCTGCATGGGCATTTTGACCAGACTCATTTCTGTAAAGAGTCTCTCAATGTAACGTGAGCTTACGCCGAGGATCGGTCAGCACTTGGCGCAGGAGGAACCTGACGCGCCTCGATAGCCTTGCCTCGTGGAGCTGCCCTTGGCAACCGCAACCAATCCCGCATGAGCGGGGATGTTTGTATGCAGGGTTATCTTGTTTCCACAATGCTACACTCTGTTTACCTCTCTCCCCCCCCTCTCTCTCCTGCATTTCGTCAAGACCAAGCAATAGCTCTACTCCAGGAAACTTTGAGTCCTCGTAGCACGAGAAGCAAACGACCATGAGGCTTGTCCACGGAATCGCTCTCTTGCCTGCATTCCTCACGGCAGCCTGCGCGTCATCGGTTCTCTTCAACGGGGGCACAGTTGTCGCTTTCAATCAAGAGACGCAAGGGTTGAAGGTCATCCGCAATGGCTCGGTCTTCGTCGAGAACGACCGCATCACCCGTGTTTGCAGTTGTGCGATCACGGATATCCCACCGGATACCGAGATCGTCGATATTACCGACAAGATCATTACGCCGGGCTTCATCGACACCCATCGACATGGCTGGCAGACGGTCTTCAAGACTATGGCTTCTAATTCCACCCTGCTGGAGTTCTTCAGCCGCTACAGCTCCTACGTCGCGCCCTTCTTCTGGAATGCGACTGACGTGTACGACAGTCAACTTGCCGGCTTATATGAGGCGTTGAATGCGGGTGTTACGACGTCTCTTGACCATGCCACCAATACATGGTCTCGAGATGCATCTGATGCCGGTCTCCAGGCTTCCATTGATAGTGGAGCGAGAGTGTTTTGGGGTTTCACTTTTGCCAACATCTCAGGTCTAGTCACGGTTGACGACCTGTTTCCGATCTTCCGGGACATGGCCAAGAAAGCCGAGCTGGCAAACTCCCCTACTACTCTGAGCATCGCCTACGACGGCTGGGGTCCGAATCCAAATGTTGGAGAAATTAATAACATTATGGCACTTGCCGAGTACGTGAAGGCCGATAATTCTTGAAACCCAAGTCAACCCTTTGACATGAATAAAGCTAACTGGAACAGGGAGCTCAATGTATCAGCTATCACTACTCACTCTCTTCAAGGACCTTGGGGCTGTAAGTTTTGCCAAAGCATTTACCTCCGATGTCTCCTACGCCTTACAAGGTCATCATTTTCCTAACTTGCGGTGCTTGATAGTCAGCAATTCTCCTGAAGACGTCCATGCCCTCAACTATCTCAACATTTCCAAGCCCTTCATCTTCTCCCATGCTTCATTCCTGACCTCCACTGGAGCGGACTTGCTGCGATCCACTAACCAGTATATCTCTATCACGCCTGAGTCCGAGATGCACTACGGCCAGACGCACCAAACCAGCCACCTCGTCCAGGATCAGGCTTCTCTCGGGATCGATACACATATTACTTTCAGCACCGACATCCTGACGCAAGCCCGTATATGGCTTCAATCGGTCCGCTATCGGCTGTATAACGACGTGGTTCAGGGGTGGAAGCTGCCAGGGACTAATCCCATGTCGGTCGAGCAGGCCTTCCTACTCGCTACGCGTCAAGGTGCTCTCGCCTTACGGCGCCATGACCTTGGTGTCATCGCCACCGGTGCCAAGGCCGATCTACTCATCTGGGACGGCACCTCCCCGGCGATGCTTGGCTGGGTTGACCCCGTTGCTGCCGTTATTCTCCACGCTAGCATCGGTGACATCGAGGGCGTACTGGTTGATGGCAAATGGGTCAAGCGCCATGGTAAGCTGGTGGCAAAGGGCTACTCGGCGGCTCGCGCCCGCTTCTTAGAGACCGCCCGACGTCTTCAGGCCGTCTGGCGAGCTATGCCACTGCCGGCGCCGCCGGCCGAGTACAACGGTCATCATGTGGTCCCCACGGAACGAGTCGATGTGCTACGGGGCCCCGGAGATGGCTACGGCGATCTTTACATTTAACATAGCTTCGGCTGTGGCCGATATTAGTTTACCCCTAACCAGCAAAGAACCCATGGAGTTTGAACCAGAAACTGCCTGATTTTCCCGTGTTTCATTAGCTATTTCCTGTGTATGTACTTTCATGTGCGTTTATCTAAGATGACAATGGCAACGACGACGACGATAACGACGACGTGTCAAGGCGACAACGACAGTAATGTAGAGCAAGGTATCCACAGGAAAAGCAGTGGCTCCAACAGAGGAAAAATAGGCTGTCTGTTAGACAACCCGCAGTGTCTGCCATTGCAAGCCCTCAGCATCCACACCTAACGCCTCACCATTCATAAAACCATGAACATACGCCCCTCCAACCAGACGGTATTCACAATCACCAACACTTCGAAAAATGAGTGGTACTCGTGAGCCGGGCACAATCCACACAGAGTCCCGTTCTTCAAGAGACTCAGATCCCACGCCTATGTGTTTTTGAGAAGTGCTGAAAAGCCTCAGGTGAACACCATGAGAAAATGAAGCCTCATAAGCAGCAGCTTTACCTTGTTGTGGTGTTTCCGCCAGCCCCAAACTTGCCAGTAGCTCATTACCCTCGCCAATGCTACCCGTAAGTCCTCGGGAAGAAGCCAGTTTGACCCCAAGCCAGTGTAAAAACGAAATCTCAAAGCTCGTGTCGACGGGGCATTGTGGTGGATCGCCATCGGTGTCGGTGAGGAGGGCACGCCAAACCGCTTCCAGCCCAACTTTTCCCTGATGCCGGTGTTGTTGTCGAAGAATGTTTATTACACCTGGAAACGGTCGACTGGAAATGATATCGTGCTTGGTTTCTGCAGAAGTCTCAATGTCGTCAAGCTTTAGTCCTCGAATCTCGAGAATCTTCGAAGAATCATGGATGAACAAATTTCGTGGCAGGTCACCTGCTGCGCGGAAGCGTCGATAGCCAGTGACTCTTAATCCCAAAGGCTTCTCACATCGCCAATCGGGCACCCATGACGGCAAATCGGAGTACTGAAACTTTTGTCCTTCGATGTCGTAAAGCAGGAGCAAGTCATCACTGTCCTCGAGTATCTGGACAGCCGCATCAATGTAGACAGATTCTACAGATCGTCCACCATATACCGGATGCAATCGCCGTTTGTCTTTAAAAAGGTCCCCAAAGTCCACAAGCCCTAAAAGTCCATATACTTTATCGCGAGAATCTCGGCAGCGATAGGGGCGAGACCGAATCAGTGCATGAACTAGAGTCTCGGCATAGCTAAGCGCTTGTCTGGATTTTCTGTTTGCTTTAAGGCCCGTCGGGGTCATATGATAGCAAGGTCCTGGTATAGAATCTTCCGAGCTTAAGTTGGCGAAATGGCGAGACCAAGATGTAGTTGTTACGAAATGAGAGAATGATTCGAGATGTTCCCAGGATGTCATGTGGCTACCGCATAGAACCGTGGCATTTTTGGCGAGGACGACCTCCTGAATTATCCAGACTCTGCTGAAGTAATTGCGACGGAAAAGCTTTCTAGCAGCTTCCCAGTATGTATGGTTGTGCAAAGGTGGAATTTGCGTAGAATTGGTGTTTTCGTCAACACACGTTTGATGTTGCATGACAAGATGAGGTGTCAAAAGGTGAAGCATCTCTGGCTTAGCTTCCGCGACAGACTCCATGAGGTGAAAAGACCTAGCAGTGTGTTCATCTTCTTCTCCGAGCCAAATCAAAACTGAGGTAGCCGACCTGAACACCCTGGCCATGAGACGAACCTGGCTGGATCGCTCTTGCAGGTTCCTCTGGTCTATGCATATCGCGTCAATCCAAAACCTCTTGCCTGAGAGATCTGAATTGTCTCGTAATCGGAGAAGCGCAGCTTTCAAGTTTGACGCGACGAAACCAACCTCTCCATGAGATATCCTTTCTGATGGTTTTCCCGTCTCCCAGACTATCCAGACAGGATTAGAGGGGTTGTCGGTGACACCCTTCGCGGCATCTTCAGGGCTCGCTGGCCCCCAAGTGTACGAGAGCGTATGGAATTCCGGGGCACATCTTCCCAGATTTACCACGCTCATCCTGCAAACAACTCTGTCCTCGTCGTTTTCATCTCGCGGGTCGATGGTTACGAGCCGTATATCACTAATTGTGAGTGGAAGTGCGGGGTACACTGCGGGAGGCGCCAGCGATGGAGTCTGGTTGTCCTCGTGCATTGTGACCAGGTGATACCAAACGGAATGCGCTTTGAAATTTCTGTGGAAGACGACAGAAATGAAGACACCACCGACTATGCGAAACGACAGAGACGACAAAGATGACTATGGGGACCGACCGAGACAGCGACATATCAACAGGCGACGGTGGGATGGGCGTGACGTGGCTTGATTAATGTAGCTACGAGCGTTGGACGCGCCTGGCTACAAAGTGGTGTGGCCGATCTCTTACGTAAAGACGGGATTCGGGCGGCATTGGCCCGGGGCCGAGTTCCGTCTTGCAGGATGAGAGGCTGGGTCTTTTCCGCAAATGCCCTGAAGAATATGACTTAGTCATCAAAGTCGTTACCAAGCCAGCCTTCTCTGCTGCTTATCCCGCAGTCTACCCTATCTCTGCATCCGACCTCCAACCTCCGAGATATGCTTGCGCAAACCATCTTCCCCGCACTCCTTGCAGCGACAAAAATGACCGCACCCGCTAATCCTATCTGTCGACACAAGTTCACCATTCTCCCGGAATACTTTATAGACTACCATAAAATAGCCGAGGACAGTCCCGGGGGCAAAGCGACGACGCAAGCCGGCCTAGGTCTGCTTGACAAGGTTTTTGGAGATTCGGCCCAAAGTCAAGAAGGCGGGAATAGTAAGCCGTGGGACCGTTTCGCGGCACACGTCAACCGACTCAACGATGAAAGTCCTGATGGGGTGGATTATAAAGTGCTTTACTTAACCAGACACGGCCTCGGGTACCACAATGTCCAGGCGGCCAAGGTTGGGACGGCGGAGTGGAATGTAAGCAACGTCTTCTGGAGATGCCGGCCTGACCCTTTCTAACGTGCAATAGAGATATTGGTCTCGACTTGACGGCGATGGAGTTGTTTCATGGCTCGACGCAGCGCTTGTAGATACGGGCATTACTCAGGCTACAGACCTGTGTACTTTCTGGAAAGCTGCTACAGCTGCCGAAGGGGTTCCCTTACCCGAGTCATTCTATACCAGTCCTCTTCGGCGTTGCCTCGAGACCAGCAAGCTTGTCTTTAGCGACCTGGTCGAGGGTAGAGGTCAGGAGTTTAGACCTGTTATCAAAGAAGGGCTGAGAGAGCGTATGACTGATCATACTTGTGACAAGAGAAGTTCGAGGACGTGGATCGAAGAAGCTTATCCTAGGTACATCATTGAACCTGGCTTCACTGAGGAAGACCAGCTCTGGAAGGCAGATCAGTTTGAGACCACAGAGAGTCATGTCGCAAGGAAGCAGCAGGTTCTGGATGAGATATTCTCGACCAATCCGAGCCAGTTTGTGTCATTGACAGTCCACTCTTATGCCATATCTGCCATCTTGCGGGCTGGGGGCCAGGAAGAGTTCCGCGTTCGAGAGGGCTCCAGCATCGCAGTGCTAGTCCGAGGAAAAAGAGTTACGACGCCAACATGATGATCTCATTTGGTTTAGAGATTAACAACAAGTCAGATACATTTCAACCTTCCTCTTGACTATTCTGCTGTGAAAATGTGCTGGGTCAGCAGTTCTGGTAGATCAAGTGGTGAATACCGCCCACCACATACCAAGCTGGATCGTATTGACACTATTGCCAGGATGTCCACCACGCACGAGGAAGACAACTACGCTGACGACCTCAGTCTGACGTCGACCAGCCTACGGCCTCCGGCCGCAACGAGCTGTTTGCTAACGACGAGGACCCGCACCAACAGCAAGATAACCGCTCACGTCCGTCACCCACTTTTGGGCACTCCCCACATTTGGGCACCCCAAAAATGCCTCACCGCTATGACTGCCTACTAACTTTAAACCTATAACTACTCAGTAAACAAAGCTAGTGGAAAAGCTAAAAAGATGCAAAAAAACATACAACACCAGGTATTCGCTGATCGTCACCGACTCAACTACTAATCCGGCCCTCGTGTTACGGTCAGCTATCCGACAGTAGGGTCTGCTAACAGAAGCTGGGGATTGACACGTAGTAACAGTACACTGAGGTCGTGGTCTGGGTCGTAGGTCGTAGGCTTGTAGTAGATCAGGTCTTCAGAGGCTAAGGTTGTCACGGTCTATGGACCGGTGTTCGGCCTTCGGCAAGACCCTCAGCCACGACTCATTGGACCCACCAAATCCAATGGCGTATTTGCTAGAAGGTTCCAGGAACATCGACAAGGTCAATGGCAAGGTTATAAGAATGCCCA